GGATGAACGGAGAAGTGGTGCCTCGATGCGCACCCGGGATCCGAACCCGGGCCGCCAGCATCGCAGCGCGCGCACTTAACCACCAAGCCACAGGGCCGGCTATTAGGGATTTATTTAGTGGCAACATAAGTGGCTCTTTTCTGCAGTTAGACCTACCGGTGGACATTACTGTGTTGTTGTGACATGGCCATTTGTGGAGCCTAAGAAATGAGGGAAGAGGGCATGGCCAGAACATTTATTTCCAAAAAGAATTGGAGGGAAGAGGTGCTTTGTAAATCTTACTTTTGGAAAAAGTTTTATAATGGAAGTTGGATACTTTTTAACAGAATCAACTTTTTCTAATGTTCTAGAGGCCCACTGCCTGAGTATGTCTTAAATATTTTTCTTCTATTTTTCAAGCAAGGCAGTTAAAATGAAGTGCAAATTGGCTTGTCATCAGACTTGAAGTGAAATTCAACCATTCATTCATTCAGTTAACACGTATTTTTTGAGCACCTGCCATGTCTCAAGCATGGAACTGGGGATACAGCAGTCCACAAGCTAGACACAGACTGCCTTATGGAACTCACATGCCCAGAGAGGTCACAAACAGTGAAGATCTGCTTTCTTTGTAGAAGTTGAGGTTTTTGTTTGGCAAGCCCAGCTTTTGTGTTTTTCTTTAATTTCTGTCCCTTATGCTACCTTGTTCCAAATAATGACTACATCATGAGATGCTAGCATCATAAGGGATCCCAGAGACCTTTTAACTTAATGGCCTTATGTTACAAAGAAACTCAGAGCATTTAAGTGGTTTGCAGATCCCACGTCCTAAATATACTTTTCCCAAAATATTAGTATGAATATTTTCAAACACACGCAAAATTAAAAGAATTTTAGAGTGAATACCCATATGCCCAACACTAAGATTCTACCATTGTGTGTATGAGTATGTGTGTATTTTTTAGTAAAGTTCTCTTGGGCGTAGTTGATTATTGATCTCATTTGCAATTTTAGAAAATCATCTTATGGCACACTAAAGGGTGGATTTATACTTTTTGTTGAAGCCAGTTAATATTTTCTTTTCTTTTAGTAACAAAACAAAAGGAAACTCAAGGTCAGAGGGAGTAGACAACAGCCATAGATTTATAATAAATATTTCAGTTTAATATTGGACTTAGTTCAACGTTTGAGCAACTCTTTTATGCAAGACACTGGCTAGGTGGTTTTGGAAATATAAAATAACATACAGTCCCCAGTATCAGAGACCTTACCATGTACACAGAGAGAAGAGAAATCCATGCATTGACCTGTAGTTAAATATATATGACAATAAAAATTTAGTGTCAAATAACTGATACTCGAACTAAGTACTGCAGTAGAATATCCCTACTGTTGATACTAATTTATAAGATTTAGGGTTAATACTTTTCTCACATCTCAAATATTTTCATACATTGAGTAGACCAGGCCTAAGGGAATGAGAAATTGCAATTTTGAGGAGTAGGAGATAGGAAGGTTGGGGCTAAATTGAAGAAGACTTTAAATTTGAGGACTTTGACTTTGTTACATGGATGTCTAAGAATTGCTGAGTGATTTTGAATAGAGGAAGAGCTGCCATCAATCAATAGTCACTGAGCATTCTAAGTTGTGTACTGGTAGTATCTGGGGAAGGTGAGACTAGTGGTTGTGTGGAAGATGAACTGGAAGGGAGATGTTTAGTTAGGGAAGTCAGTTAGAAGGAAGTTGCAAATGCCCTGGGGTGAGAAGGTAAGGGTAGCATGTGAGTGATGGAATAGAAGGGATGGATATAAGAGGAATTGCAAAGCAAAAAAAATGTGTGTGTGTGTGTGTGTGTGTGTGTGTGTGTGTGTGGAATAGACATGCAAGAGGCAAGGGAAAGGAGGAGAAAAGATAGAACCAGCAGTGGACTCAAGTTGGCTTGTACCTGCTCTGGGGAGTCAATTATGTGCTTCTCTTCCCTTCCCAACTCCTTCTTCAGTGACAGTGCATTTGTGGCTTGAAATCAGCTATGCTAGAAGTATTTACACCCCCAATAGCAAATCAAGGCATTTTATTTTTCCAGAAAACCAGTTTACCTGCACACCACAGGATGAACCCAGAATTTTGAGTTTGGGTGAAGGTTAACTGAATAGAGATTTTGGAGAACATACTGAGTGTGGTTTGGAACCTATTGAGACTATAGTAACAACTGGGAATAGTCTGACAACGTGGCGAATTCCGTCTATAAATGTCGTTCATCATCCTTTTGGTAGAGACTGTAAAAATGTTGTTCAATGAACTTATTACACTGCCTCAGAGTTGAAACATAAAGATGAAATCCTTCTGAAGACACATGTTTTGTATTATAAGTGTAATTTCATTGCAGAAACACTGAGAACGCCATTGTTATTTTAGTAAATTTTTTTACAGTAATAGTAAAGCTTCTTATGAGGCAGCGAGTAGCTAAGCCACAAAACAAAATATAATTCAGCTGAGCATTCGTGTTAATATGAGCTCCCGTTATCAGGGAGAAGCAGAGAGAAAGAAGCGTGTGCCATTATGCTGGACGGAAAGCAGAATGTGGCTGTGGGATTTCACAAATCTCATCTCTTACTTGAACTCTTAGGTTGGAAGATCTTTTCCTTCCTTTGGGAGATATTCTTTAAAAACTTGAAACAATTTAGCTATTCAGCAGAGATTTGTGAAATAAATCATGAAGCATCAGTAGAGTACAATTCATAGAGGGGTGTTTAGTATGGAAAGATGGGAATGACCTTCAATGAAAGTAGGTTACAAAGCAGTATTGCTGCATGATCCCCGTTATGTATTAAACATACTGTGTCTATGCCGTACAAGGCTGGATGAGTAAAGTGTTTAACAGAGCTATTTCTGCTTAGTGGGTTTATAGCTTGCTGTTTGTTTCTTACCGTTGTATAGCTATTTTTGCTACAGAATTACTAGAGCTAAGAAAAACATCCTAATAAAATAAGAAAAGATGCATTATCACTATGCTTGGCTGAGTGCAATGTTACAAGTAACTTGACTGTTTAAAAATTTTACAGGGTGTCCCTGGAGCAAAGGGAGAGCGAGGAGAACGAGTAAGTATGCTCTGGCTCTGTTTCCCAGCCGCAGCTGGTTGCACACCTTTCACTGCATAAGCCTGATAAAGGATGACCATTTACTATCACGATTATTCATTGCTCTTATACAATTCCTTCTCTCCTCCCTCTCCTCAGCTCATCTAACTGTGAGCACATTTTCAAGTGGAAAACACCCTGTGGGCTAGAAGTCAGGAGAGTTACTAGATGCAGATCTGTTTCCATCCAGCTAGATGACCTTAGGCCCATTTCTTTAAGGATAAAATGGAGAGAATCAAATTCATCTAACTCACAAAGTGGATTTAATGAAAAAATTATATAATGGATGTGAAAAGGCTTCAGAATAGTAAAGGCTATATACAAATGCCAGGTAGTAGAATAGGGCTCATGTTTTTCCAATATCGGCACCCTGGAAGACAATGGAAGGCCTAGAATCAAAGAACTGGCCATGAAACTTAAATCACTTTATTCTAGGGGCCTTCTCTCTCCTTTGAGAAATTGTGCAGCTGCTAATATAATTGTGCTGTCGCTATGGCAGAAACAGCAGTGACCTTGGGCTCATCCAGTTACCTTGGTGAAACCTTGGGCAATGTGTTTAACTCTGTTCATCTATAAAATGAGTTTAGCATCCTTTCTCTGAGTTGTTATTAGTATTAAATAAGCCACTGCTTGAGAAAGTGCTGCATTTTATAAGCTTTAAAGAGCTATAAATGAAGCATCAAATATATAAGGGTTTGTTTAAAAACTGTTAAATTTTTTAGAATCTGGGACCATAAATGCTTACTTCAGCTTTTTAATTTAATAAAGGTTCTCAGGAACCTCGCACCATGAGTGTCAAATTGCTTGCTCCTCTGTGTGCACCGCGGTGGTCAATCCTACCTGTTGCTAGGAGCCGAAGAACCCAGGTGGGAACAATGGGTCAAGTCGGATTTTCATCATGGAAGTATTGCCATGTGGCTGGGCTTGTGGTGAAAGTCAGGAGTATGCTTTTTTCTCATCCAGGGTGACCTGCAGTCTCAAGCCATGGTGAGAGCAGTGGCACGTCAGGTGTGTGAACAGCTCATCCAAAGTAAGTGCATTATAGTTACAGATGTTTTCTATTTCTCCTCCAATGGGGAATTTGCTTTTCCCATAAGTGTAATGACTAAGGAAGACACCTCTAAACCTTTATCTTGGTGCAGACATGTAAGCTTTACAGATAGCCATCACTAACCCGTCTATGACATCACTACAGATGACCCTAAAGTTCTACATGGATGGTACAGAGGCCAAATTCCTCTGTGTCATTTGTCCAAGAACTCTCTATTTGCCCATGTAGATTCAACTTGACTGCCCAGATCAAATCTTTTATTCCTTCTTCATCTCTCCAAATAGACAGATTTTTTATTCTCAAGTACCCAGCACTTGAAAGCTGCCAGACTCTAAGGCATCAGAAACTACCTTCAAAAACATGATTCATGGTGTTGGGCTCTATTAACTCACTAGATTTAAATCAATACTTCTTTCTTATCCATTTCTTTGAGGGCAACTTCAGGTCCTTTCCTTTATTCTTTAAGATTTATGCCAAAAAGTATATATACACACGCACACGCACAAGGATAGGCTTCATGTGACATTTGATATGATACTTGGGCTTCATGCCAAAAATTACACTGGAATACACTTTATATGACACCTGTCCCATTTCTTCCTTTTAAACTTGAACTTTCCCACAGCCCAGTATTTCAGTTACTGATTCCTGCTCATTCACTTACACACCCACCCATTTTGCACATTTCCCCTCCATCCACTGACTATGTATTTTGTCTCAGTAATCTAAGCAGGGGGTTACTAGTTTTACTTCTCTTTGCCAGTAATTTGTTCACTTCCAGGAAGGTCTGAGACCACATAGAGATGAAATACTCCTCTCAAACCCAGCCGGCTCTGGCCTAGCTCTGCTGTCAAGCCCCACACCCCAAAAACACCCTCCACCTCCAGAGCTGACATTACCTGAGTGGCTGCCTTAACAGCTTTGGGCATGTATTTCTTCTAGCCCAGGGAACTTTTGAGAGTCCTGTAAGTATCCAAGAAAGCCCCATTGTCTGGGTCCAAAATTCCGTCTCTTGTAGATAAACCCATGTCTGTCCAAAATTCCATCTGTTGTAAATAAACCCATATCTCTCCTTGAGGAAGGTATGGAATAAAGGTGTGCATGGGCTTGGGAGAGTTTTCATTAAGACAAAAATCTCAGGGCAAACTGAGTACAAAGCTACCATCTCAGACATAGTAGTAATGCTCCCTGTATTTTAACTTTATTTAAGTTGACATTATATGCCCCAAGTAAATGTATGTATGTAACAGAATTTACCAGTTAAATGAAACTGATCAGGTTTAACGCCAAAATAGGATCTTTAAAAACACAAGTCATGGGCCGGCCCCGTGGCTTAGCGGTTAAGTGAGCGCGCTCCGCTGCTGGCGGCCCGGGTTCGGATCCCGGGCTCGCGCCGACGCGCTGCTTCTCTGGCCATGCTGAGGCCGCGTCCCACATACAGCAACTAGAAGGATGTGCAGCTGTGACACACAACTATCTACTGGGGCTTTGGGGGGA